TCCTTGTATTCTTTGCTTCCTTTAGGTACTTACCCTATATGTACTATGAGAGCAGGGAATTTGTCTTTGTTTATTACTTTGTTTATTAAGCATAGAATGTTGCTTAACTTCAAGTACTGGATTCTGTGATGCAAAGGCATCTACAGCATGGTTTGGGGGGCCGTAGAAGCCGTGGTTTGACACACCAGAGAACCGTGCTCTGCTCCATCCGAGCCACAGATTTCATTCCAAACTAAGTCAAGGGTATTTTAGATGTGCACACCAGAGAGGAAGCCAGGGGAAGGGGCCATAAATGAACACCCTATCAACTTTAAGTTTTAAGAAAAACTAAGTGTCATTATCTTTTCTTTTAGGCATACCATTTTGCTAATTCCAACATAGGGTTGCTATGCGTCAGAATCAACTCAATGGCAGTGAGTTTCTTCTTTTTAACTCCAACATTATTAATAACAAGTGATTAAACTGGCTGCAAATGGGTGACTACCAGAGATGGGAGGGGAGGGAAAGTAAATCACTTACTAGAGGGTAGATACATATTAACTTGAGTAAAGGGGAAGGTAAAAAAAAAAAAGGTTCATTAAATGTAACAAATTTCCCATTCTATGTAATATGTTAATGAAAGAAACTGGTCATGCATTCTCTCTTCAATATCTTCTCAATAATCTTCTGTAAATCTAAAACTGTTCTTATTTTCCAGGTCATTAAATGAAGAGGAAAAGGAGGGGGAGAAGGAAGACGCGGAAGACCACCACCATAAAGTTGGGGGTACAAACCCACCAGTTGCTTCATGGGAGAAAGATGAGGCAGTCTGCGCCTGTAAAGGGTGACAGTCTCAGAACCCGAGGCGCAGTCCGTCTGCTTTGTTCTACACAGGAATCCGCTCGCTGGCAGTGGGAAACTAAAGCTGAAATGGTCCACACTGTCCTGTACTGGCATCAAAATAGGCATGGAGACCAATACAAACAGAACTGAGAATCCAAAGTAAACCCAAACAGCTACCATCAACTCATTTTTGACAAGTGTGCCAAAGTCCATTCAGCGGGTAGGGGGGTGGGATAGTCTTTTCAACAAAAGATACTAGTATAGTGGGATCTGCACATGCAAAAAGGATGAGAATAAGAAAGGGAGGAGAAAACCTATCGACTGGGAGAAAACATTTGGGCTCAATCCCCAGAATCTATAAAGAACTCCTGTAACAACCACAACAAAAGAGAAACATAGAGTCATTTATGTCACACTGACTAAAGGGGCATACCCGGACAGTCTGTCAAGTAGAAAACCCAGGAAATGAACTGATACTAACAACAGGAAATGCAAAACAAAGTTGTTGCCCTCTTGTTAGAAGCAGGGGGTGACAGGGAGGCACAATGAATGGCGTCCTGGAGAAAGTCAGCAGTGCTGTTAAGTGTTTGTTAATTAATTTCTCTAATTTCAAAGTTGAAAAAGAAATAAACTGTTTTCCCCTGAACACTTACATATGCTGTAACTTTAAAGACAGAAGATGTAATTTGTATTTTCTTGGTTTGAGGATTCTTCCGAACACTAAAAAAGGAAGAAAAAAAAAGTACTTTTAAAATAAAAAATATTTTTTAATGTTATCTTATGAATTAGATGGTGGGTTACAGAGCAGATCTCAGTTTTACAATCAATAATTCTTATACACTCAGATTCAACTCATCTTTGAAATCCCCTTTATCCTCCTCCTTCCCATGTCTTGTTTCCATCTTCTTTCTGTCCTAACTCTCTGAACTTTGTCCTTGGGCAAATACTGCTCTTTTAATCTTAAATGGTTGGTTATTTTAACATGGAGTGAGTTTAGCTCCAGCCCTGTGAAGGGTGACTAAGGGCAACAGTCTTGGGGCTCCCACCATGTAATGCATTTTAAATACTGATCCTTTTTTAGTATTTGTTTAGGTGTTCTGATTCACGTAGAAAGGAACTCTGGTGTTGTAGTGGGTTATGCTTTGGGCTGCCAACTGCAAGTCAGATGTTTGGATCTACCAGCCCTTCCTTGGGAGAAAGGTGAGGCTTTCTGGTTCAGTGAAGATTTATAGCCTTGGAGACTCACAGGGGCAGTGATAAAGACGTGGAGAAGCTGTAACAAGTGCTTTATGACTTGCAGTCAGCTATGTCTGGGGAGAATAAGAAACTAACCCATACTGAGTTGATAGACTACAATAGGTTTGATGATAAACTGCTACACTAAAACAGAAGGAAGAGTTTACAGGTGTTGAATTCATAATTTTTCACCTAAGAATTATCTTTTGAGAGTGACATCTTAATTAAAAGATGCTTCATATGTTTTAGAAAAAAGGTATAAACCATTAGGGGTTAAAGAAGGTATTCTAGTAAACATAAAAGTTACATAATCCTTAATGGTTATACACTAAGTTCTAAAATTTAATATTTGTAAAATTTGTCAAAGAAAACTTGACATTTAAAGGAAGGTGAAAAAAACCTTAAATTATGTTCAAAAATTAAGTTGGGCCATTTCTGGAATCCTTTTTGATACATTGTGGTAAAAAGATTTAATTTCAAATGTTAAAATAATTAAAATATTATGCTAATCCAAGGGATGGTTACAGACATTAGTATGCACTACAGACATTAGTATGCACCTATATAACCACTGCCGGTCAAAATACAAAACACATGTTTGCTTATAGGTTATTCTAAATCTTAGAATGGTTATATGTGTACCATCACATATATATATAAATTAACTGAGCTATATGCTTATGATTTGTGCATAGTACTTGTGGTTGTCCTTGAGTAGATCTGAATCATGGGACCCCATGTGTGTCACTGTGCTCCAGAGTGTTTTAACTGGCTGGTTTTGTGGTTTAGCAGCTGAATCTAGTAACTACTTACACTACCCAAAGGCTTCTTGTATTATAAAAAAGACCAAACTCACTGCCATCGAGCCAATTCGGACTTATGGTGACCCTATAGGACTCGGTAGAACTGCCCCCTGGGTTTCCGAAACTAACTCTTAACAGAAGTAGAAGCCTCATCTTTCTCCCCACGAGAGCCTGGTTGTTTCAAACTGCTGACCGTGTGGTTAGAAGCCCAGTGCATACCCACCACATCATACTGCTTTTATATCACCACTTACGTAAACCAAAGTTGTAAAAGAAACCTTGTATTTATGCTTATCAAATAGCATACAGCAGTATTTAGCTTTGAGACTTCATTTAATAATTACCCACTCACTATTAGCACATATAATAGTAAATTTAAAAAAAGGAAAAAAAACACCATTTGTACTTCACAAAAAGTTGGTTCCTAATAGAAATAAATCATATTATTCTATTCTACTTCTGATCTTATATTACTGTTACTTTGATCTTTTTCTAAAAAAATTTTTTTATTTTATAAGTCAAGAAGAAGACATTTGTCCTATAGCTCTTAAGAAAAAAAATCAAACAAAATAAAGTGATCTTCATTAGTATCTTAGGCTGTCTCCTAATAACTATATGCTATTAACTCTCTGGTACTCAGTCACTACTCACTCATTCTTCAGGTAGCGAAAACACTGCCTGGTCCTAGACCACCCTCACAATTATTTTGATTGAGCACATTGTTGCAACTACTGTATCAATACATCTCTATGAGGATCTTTTCCCCTGACCTACTTTACAGTAGTTGCAACAATGTGCTCAATCAAAGTAATAGTGAGGATGGTCTAGGGCCAGGCAGTGTTCTCACTACGGCACCTAAGGACATCTAGAAATTATATTCCAGCAGCCTTCAAATACCTAGATAGATGTGAGGCCGGGAATTATGAGTAAATGACTGAAGCTACTGCAAGTTCCAACTGTGCTTACTTTTTAATCTACTCTTTACTTACCCACCATCTCCTTACCCAACATCTTACATTTAGGAAAAAATACGCCCCAAGCAGGGCTCTGGCTGGGCCCAGAGCGCCTCCCGCAGGCCACCCTAAATGATATACTGGAGGCCTTGCAACAAACGGGCCACAAGAGAGACTGTGGTCCACTGTTGTGGAATGATTTCTCCCATTTGTTTATGATGTCATGGTCTGGCCACAGAAGGGAGTGGGCACAGGCAAGGGGGTGCTGGATGAGGGCCAAAGTTGATGGGAAAGTTGGTGGGAGTGGAGAGCGAGGAGAGAAAAGGGATGGCACAGAGTGGTGGGCCAGGGTGAACGGAGGGCAGTGGGAAGAAGTGGGTGGCAAGCAACACACAATCACCACCACTAGCCACCTCAAGTCTGCAGGCTCCTTGGTGGTAGAGAAGGTGTGGAGGAAGGAGGGCCCACTACACCATGTGCATACCAAGATGTCTGAGCAAAGGGGGATAAGGCACCAAAGCTGGGACCCCCAGACTTTAGGGTAACATCAATTTAGCTTAAGGTCTCGGGTTTTGGAACCTATTAATGTAGATAAGAAGTAGGTGTTCTTACATATTTCTGTGACAATTGTTATAGTAACAAACTATATCAACTATTAAATCCCAGTAATTACATAACAGCTAAACCAAATCATATTAGTTGACTAAAATTAGGAAAGCCATAGGAGAACATCTGTGGGAAGCAAACTAACATATTTTTTACGAGACTCTGAGATCACTTAATCTATTCAACTGCTTTGTGCTGGCATCTAAAACATCATCAATAAATATGTGTGATTTATTCTAATTATAATTTTCTAATGAAGTTGTTTACTTCTAATAAGTTCTTTCCTTATTCAGCAATGAAAAAAACATTTACTCAGTGCTCCCCACTCCCTGAACAATGAAAAACTCATATACTATAGCCCATACTTCAGGAAAAAGTATAGGCATGTTTTTGGCTTGGCCCGCCCTTACCCTCCCACCGCCGCCCCCCCCCAAACACACACACACACACACAGATCACTCCAATGCCTTCTAGAGAGGGCTGTATTGCTCTTCACTTTGGGAAAGATGGATGTAACGTCTAGATGATTCTAGATGAATAACTTCTAGAGCAGTGGTTCTCAATCTTCCTAATGGCGCGACCCTTTAATACAGTTCCTAATATTGTGGAGACTCCTAACCGTAAAATTATTTTTGGTGTTTCTTCATAACTGTAATTTTGCTACTGTTATGAGCCAAAATGTCAATATCTGATATGCTGGATGTATTTTCATTGTTACAAATTGAACATAATTAAAGTATAGTGATTAATCACAAAAGAATATGTAATTATATATTGTGAAATATTTGTTTTCCGATGTTCTTAGGTGACCTCTGTGAAAGGGTCGTTTGACCCTCAAAGGGGTTGCGACCCAAAGGTTGAGAACTGCTGTCCTAGAGGAATACTTAGTGGTTCCTATAGAAAAGTACTGCCTCAATTAGGTTGGTTTCCTCCTGGGTCTTCCCCAGAATATCAAATGTGTTGCAGTACTCTAATAGGCTGCCCTCCTCCTTGCCAGCCCCCATGGATTCCATTCCATCCAGACTTTCCTGACTGTTGACGCTCACCCTGATAACATCCTGTTTTGAATCTGGTGTATTGGTGTTATAGCTCAAACATTTGCCTAAAAACACTACGCATTTGATTATGAAAAATTTTTACTTAAAAGTTTTTACTTAAGTCCTCAGGTTACAGGTATGTTTGACTTAAGACTGAAAATTATGGTGTGTGAAAAGCAGAAGACAGCTATACCAAGAGGATTGAACTCTTAGCAGGCAGACCAACATTGACTTAGTACATCAAAACCCTACTCGATATATTAAGATACATCTGTCGAAGCTGCACGGCGAACTCCATTTTTACTGTTTACTCATTATTCTGAGCTGATTTTGAAAAAAAAAAAAAAAAAGGCCAGCTCAGGAAACCTGTGGGCTCCCCTTTCAGCACTCCTACTCACAGCGTGCACCCAGAATATTCAGGCTGGCCCCCAAATAGCCAGAGATTAACAATGCTTTAACTGACTTAAACTTTATGATCAACAAAACAATGTTCAGGGCGTCTTGGAACTGTCTGGTGTCTGTCAACATAAGCCTTTGTAAAGTTCAGCCAATTAGAATCTTTTTCTTGTGAACTCCTGAATTTTCTGTACTTAAACTCCGTGGAGGATGCTACTCACTGCTGGAGTACTTTTGTGAATCCTCACAAAGTGCTGCCCAATTTTGGCTGTTCTATTCTTTCAATAACACTCTTTCTTTCATTTTAATACAGACTCCAGAGCCTTCTTTGGCATGCCTAAACATTAGGATGCTATGTTTTCTTCTATAAGCCTTTGTTTACAAAAAAATACCAAGTCATTTTACAACCAGTATACATTCACTTCAGTTACCGTAAAAGTACAGAGATTTGGAAAGCTTTTAACTCTTTTAATCTTTAAAAAGAAAAAGAAAAAACTCCAGGGAGTGGGAGATAGGAAGGGCGAGGTGATTTGGGGAGCAGACAATGAATGCAGGCGGTGGGGAGGGAGCACTAGAACTGACTGTGATTATGTATATACAACTCATTTTAAAAGCGATTTAACCATGAAAATGTATGATATGTGAATACTCTATCAAAAAACCCAGATGTGTACAATTGATAGAAATTTGGTTTCTCTGTGTGGACCAGATACACACACACACACACACACACACACACACAAACCAAATTTGATCAATGGTTTCCATAGTGGAAGGGGAAAGAGTTGTTGCATAGGGGGCACAGGGTTTATGTCAATGGTGGTAGAATAATTTAGAAAAGGTTATCAGTAATGGTTGTACAACACAAAGAGTATAATCAATGACAATGAATTATACAAGTAGAAGTTGTGGAACTGGAGAATGTTCTGTTGTGTATATATTTGCCACAATTAGAAAAAATTTAATTATACACCTACACAAAATAAAAAATTAATTATTCAAGTAACAATGACTATAAGGAAAAACAATGTTTTATAATTGAATATGGTGACAATTGTACAACTCATCTTGATATGAATGATTGAATTGTATGACATGTGAATGAAGTGCTAATGAAAGTGTTAAAAATTTTATTTCAATAGAATATTTAAAACAAACTATATAATTTTGCCAAGAGGTCACATATGATCAAGAACCAGTGGTACTAAAGGAAGGAGCCCAGGCTGCACCGACGGCATTAGCCAAAAGCAATGCTCCCGGAATTGATGAAATGTTCCAACAAGCTGTTGAAGAGTGCACTGGAAGTACTCACTCTTTTATTTAAAAAAATTCGGAAGACAGCAAGTTGACCAACTGACTGGAAGAGATCCATATTTATACTCATTCCAAAGAAAGTTGACCCAACAGAATACTCAAATTATAGAACAATATCATTGATATTACATGCGAGTAAAATGATGCTGCATGTATTCAACAAAATCATTCAACGACAGCAGTACTACTGGAAGGGAGCTGCCAGAAATTCAGGCTGATTTTAGAAGAAGAGTCATAAACCAGGGATATCCATCCATCAGCTGAATCTTGGCTGAAAGCACAGAACACCAAACAGATGTCTCCTTGTGCTTTACTGACAGTATAAAGACATTTGACTGTGTGGACCATAACAAACTAAAGCAAACTAAAGCGCTGGAAGAATGAGAATTCCAGAGCACTTCATTGTGCTCTTGCGGAATATGCAAACTGATCAAGAGGCAGTTGTGCTAACAGAACAAGGAATACAGCATGCTTTAAAATCAAGAAAGGTGTGCATCAATGCTGTGTCCTCTCACCGAACTTATTCAATCTGTATGCTGAATAAATAATCAGAGGAGCTGGAATATATAAAGAACAATGAGGTATCAGAGTTGGAGGAAGGCTTATTAACAACCTGGGACGTGCAGATGACACAGTCTTACTTGCTGAAAGTGAGGAGGACTTGAAGCATTTGCTGATGAAAATCAACCGTTGCAGCCTTCACTATGGACTACAATTCAATGTAAAGAAAACCAAAATCCTCACAACTGGACCAATAGGTAGCATCATGATACATGGAGAGAAAATTTTTGTCTTGCTTAGATCCACAATCAATGCTCAGGGGAAGCAGCAGTCAATAGATTAAATGATGTACTGCACTGGATAAATCTGCTGCTCTTTAAAGTGTTGAAAAGCAAGATGGTACTTTGAGAACTAAGGCACACCTGACCCGTGCTATGGTATTTTCCATGTCATCATATGCATGTTAAAGGTGGACACTGAATAAAGAGGACAGAAGAAGAATGGTTGCATTTGAATTATGGTGCTGGCCAAGAATACTGAAAATGTCATGAACTGTCAAAAGAACAAACCAATCAGTCGTGGAGGAAGCACAGCAAGAATGCTCCTTAGTAGCAAGGAGGGTGAGACCGTCTCACATACTTTGGACATGTTGTCAAGAGAGGCCAATCCCTGGAAAAGTACATCAAACTTGGTAAAGTGCAGCGGCTGCAAGAAAAAGGAGCACCCTCCACAGACGGACTGACACAGTGGCTGCAACAACAGGCTCCAACAACACAGTGTGAGGCTGGTGCAGGACTGGGATGTTTTGCCCTGTTGTACAGCAAGTTGCTGTGCATTGGAAATGACCTGATGATACCTACCAACAACATATAACTTCGGAATTAAATTGTATATTTTATTATATAGAGGTGGGTACATGTATGTGTATACACACATATATTACTAGTATATACAAATGTATATGTATATACATTGTACTATCAGTCCAGCAAATTCAAGCATCTGGAAGAATTTCTTGTGTTTCCTTGAGATTTCAGAGGAGGCTGGGAAGAGGGCAGTTACTCATAAGAATAGAGTAGGTAAAAGATCTGAATGAGGAAACAAGGAGAAGACAATAAGATTTAAAATAAAGGGACCGAGGATTAAGAGAAGGTCAAGGAAATCTAGGAAGAAAGAATCCGGAGGGAAAAAAGGAGGCTATGATCAAGGCGATGCCATTTTTATATAATTTGACTGTTGCCACGACTGGAAGATGTAGTTTAATCCCACCACCGTTAAGTAATTCACTCAATGAACCAAAGATTTACACATTATGATCTAGCAACATTACCTCACCAGATCCTTATAGATAAGTTTTGTTGTCTCCAGATATGGATCAAGCACATCTTCATACTGACAAAGGGTTCCGCCAAGGCAAAAATGTTTGAAAAGACAAAACAGGAACTCTTCTCTATCTAGCTGACTGAACACCTCATATTTTTCTGAGTCTTCCATTAGTAAAACCTATGTAAAATAATAAATTCATCTTAATGTAACATAACTTGAGGTTCTAATTTGTATGTTTTCAGAAGAGTTTCGATTATATACTTAATTTAAGATAATCTTAAGAGTTATCGTGAGAAACACACTCGATGCAACTCGAAAACATCTCATTACCTTTTCATTCTATTTTTATTAGAATTTTTTGGAAAACCCATCATATTTAAATTGACTGCAGTTCTCTTCAGACCTTGATACCTCTTCTCAGAACACAGAGTGACTGGTGGGGGTATTTTCTTAAAATATTAGCCATTATAGATAGTTGATTAACTTATTGATCATAGGCCATGTATAGGTTGATGAATGTAAATTAGAGAAGGTATTTATTTTATTGAATTACTTATGTTAACCTACTTCTAAAAAATAATTTAAAATAGTTGACAACAAAAATGTAGATATAATAGGAACAAAATAATAACATACAAAACTATAACCAGGAAATGAAGTAAGAAAATTAAAACATAAATAACTCTAGATGGAAAAAGGTTATAGAAATTGTAAATGACATATAACTCTATCATAAAGGAACAGGAGGAAATCAAATCAGTTATATACAACAATTACTGTCTAGTACAAGAAGTACGCTTCTTTAGGAAAATTGGGTATGGTAAACATTTTATCTCAATGCCTAATGAAAACGTATTACAAGTTCACTGTACAAGACCCAAACCAAACTCACTGCCATAGAGCTGCTTTGGGCCTCCAGTGGAGAACTGCCCTGAGGGTTTCAGAGACTGTATGTCTTCACAAGAGCAGAAAGTTTACCTTTCTCCTGCAGAGGCTCATAGTTTTGAACGGTTGACTCTGGCTAGCAACTCAACTTGTAACACAGGGCCTCTTAAACTGAGATTAATCTCCAAAATGAACAGAAATGCAGAACTAGATTATAAACTTCCTGTATAATAGTCAGTCTGAGGTAAGTAGTAGAAATTACTATCAGCTCTTCACTGTGTAGTATTTACATCGCCTTGTATTATTTTTAAATATACTTCATTTCACTGAAGTGAAACTACAGCTTCTTCAATTGTGTGGGTTTGATTATTCTCAATTAAATGATCTAATTTGCTTCTTAACCCACAGAAAAGAGTTCCTTTTGGGTTTTGCCTTAGTGTAAACCAAAGTCAAGGTGCCCTGGTGGCTTAGTGGTTAAGCATTGGGCTGCTAACTGCAAGGTTAGCAGTTTGAAACCAACAGCTACTTCACGGAGAATGACAAGGCTTTCTACTCCCACAGAGTTACAGTCTTGGAAGCACACGGGCAGTTCTACCCTGACCTATAGGGTTGCTATGAGTTGGGATTGACTTGATGGCAGGGAGTTTTTGAGACCAATGCATAGACTAGCTAGATGCCTTCCGATCTCCTGCAGACAAGATCGCTGTGAGCAGAGTGATGAAACAACTGCTTCCTTAGTTCGTTCCTATTTGGATTTATAATACATTAGAATCTTCCCCATCTCTTCATGTTCAACAATAGTAGCAATTAACGTTCTCTAAAACTTTCTAGGTGCCACACATTGCACTAAGCATTTCAAATGAATAATTCTGCATCATTCTCACGGCACTCCTATTTTATAGATGAAGAAATTGAGGTTTAGAGAGATTATCACTGCTAGGAATTGGAAAACCCTGGTTTTGATCTATGTCTATTTAATGTCAAAGCCCTAATTTTCAACTACTATGTAATATTCTGAACAATTATAACAATGATATTAATAATATATTTTAACAGCAATTCACATTTTAGATATAATGCTTTTACATGTTTTCTCTAGGATTTCGGAGAGGAGACAGCATGGACATTTAATCACCATGTTGTATAAATAAGATCTTGACGCTCGAGATAGTAAATGATTGCTAAAGCCATTATGATTTTGTAAATCATGAATCAAGTGAGTAATCCCTATCTTGATTCCTAGTTCAATAAAACATTTACCATGGCTAATCAAATGGCTTTGTTGATATCAGTAAAAAGAAAAGATTTACTCCAGAGATTTCAAAATACAGTGAACCCTCGTTTATCGCGGTTAATCGGTTCTAGACCCTACCGTGATAAATGAAATTCCGCGAAGTAGGATTCCTTA